TACCATTTGGGGTCCTTTCGGATTTGGCAAATCCGCGGGTTCCGTAGATTCTGCAGACTTTCGGATTTGTCAAATTCGATACCCCTCCTATCTATTTTTACACTTTGAAATTTTTTCAGAAATTTAAAATAATATTTTATTCAAAATCTCGAATTTCGCAAATCCGAAATACATTGTCTCGGATTTAGCTGATACATTTCTAGTCAAATTTTATTTTCGAGCACTTAGATTTTTTTTTTGCAAAATATAAATTATTTTTTTATTGAACCCATTCAGATTTGCCAAATCTGAAATTTGATTAATTTTAATTAATCATTCAGTTAATTTTAATTATTTCATGTTGGACGGCTTTTGGATTAGCCGAATCCGAGTTATCTTTTTCTCGGATTTGCCAACTTCGAGTTTTTATTGATACCCTGTTAAACCAATCTTCCTTGAGCCATCATTTTTACTTTTACATAAATGTAAATTAATTGCGAAAAAAAAAACTTCCCCTTTCGCGTCATTGATTACACATTTCTCTCACTTTCAAGAATCAACCATTGTTATAATATTAAAGTGTTTTCTTCTTCTTCGATCTTTTTCCGTATATATGTACTTTTGACACGTATGTAAATTAATTGAGGACAAAGAAACTTTCCCTTCTAGCGTCATTGATTACAGGTTTCCCTCACGTTCAAGTTTCAACCATTGTCATAAAGTGTTTTCTTTTCTTTCTTTTTTTCATTTTTTTGGTATATTATAATGTTTTTTTCATTAGTGCATATAACGAGAAACGGGGAGTATAGAAGAAGCATTGAGCATGGAGCAGAGGCCAACTGATATATGTAGTACTCTTTTCTTTTCTTTTTTTGAAAAAGTACGTAGTACATATAGTTTACATAATAATACTCCTTCCCACAAAAAGACCCTTTGTTGTAAACTGTAAATTGTTCTAAATATGAATTATTTTGAATTATGGAACGGCGAGACTATATTATATTCACTTTAAGATAGATTTTGTTTTTGTTTGTTTGTTTTTTTTTTTTTTTTTGAGGATGCATGGCTATTTTAATTATCTAGTACTATTTCATTTTACAGAATTAATGTTTCGCGAAAGAAATTTAACAAAATGATGAAATCATGTAAATCAAGTGCGTAGGAGTTTTCAACATGTAGCAAAAGAAGAGGAAAAGAAAACTAACCCGTTGAGAGAACTGGAATTTGCAGATTAAATTATTTTTATGCTATATTTGGGCCATATTATATTCTATCTGGTTTTTTAAGCAAGCATTTTACTTTGTATTTTTTCTATCAATTACAGTAGCGTCGCTGGTTTCTATATCTTCTTCACAACAAATAACTCTTCTAAGTTTCCTGTTTCAAGAAGACAATTCAGAAGCTTCCCAACAGTATGAAGAAGAGAAAATCAATTTTATTTGGTGATGAAGAATCACGAAGATCAGAAGCATAAGTCCAACTTACCATTTGGGAATGAAATGTAGACAGACTTGCTCTCATCCGACTTCGTCTTCTATATATAGGTGGTTCAAGAATATTTCGAGGGGGTAGGAGCCCGGACTGGTGAAGATATGTGATGAAGGGCAGCAGCCCTTAGCCACTCAGATGAATGCTCGTCCATGTCTGGTGTGTTGTTAGTATGTTCTATATTTCTCCATCTATTTTTTCTGTCTTTTTTACAAAAATGTCTACATTATAAATTATAAATTGTGCAAAAATCGTACAATTTATCATTCGTAATGTTGATTATTTTTATTAAACGGATGGATTATAATTTTTCTGTGATAGAATATTTGTTTTGTTGCGACTTTGTTGTAGTCGCTAAATTTTAACACATTTCATATGACGTTGTTGGATTTTCTATCTAACTAAGATTTGTTATCTTCAATATTCATTCCTCGTGGGTAACCAATATTTGAATGTCTAAGATGTTAATGTTATTTAATAGAGTGAGAGTTAAAAAAATTAAGACTATTTAATGCAACTAATAGACTAGAACCACTATCTATGCAATTCGAAGTTCTTAATGTTTGTGTATTAATTCTTATAATGACACCAGTAGTCATAAGATTAATTTAGCCAAGAGAATTATAATGTAATAGTAACGATTCCTTAATTGACGAGAGAATCTTTATGTGAGTAATAGATTTAAAAATTCATCAATTGATAATTAGATCATCTGAGCTAATATGGGTGGAGTCGGTTCTTTGTTAGTGTTTTCATGTTTATTATATCATCTATGTTTTATGATATTCCTTAATATTTTTTGTTTTACCGTTGGTAAATATTAGTTAATTTGTCAAAACAATTAATATGAGTTTATCTTAATCAAATGTCACATCAAGTGTAATGTGTCTTTGTCGTTATTTGGTCATTTAGAATCATGTATTAGTAGTGTGTTAGTGTATCATTAATATAAGTATGTTTAGTAACTTGCTTATTACAAATAAACAAGTCAATTTGATAATTTGATAATTTGCCATTTGGCTTTAGGGAATCGCCCTACTCTATTATTTATTTTCGGTACTGAATTTTATTTTGATTAAGTTTGATGACGGTTCATCATGAATCTTGCGGGATCTCACCGTCCTACTTCAAAAGCGAAAAATGGATCTCCTGCTAGATCTTGTCAAAGAAAATGGAGCAAAATACATGGACATTGAAGTATATGAGGACTATCTGAAACTAACTTTTCGCAGCAAACTTCATGGCCAAATTTGACGGCTTTGAAGTCTGATTATAAAAGCTAGCTAGGAGTCAGGTACGTCCTGATTTAGACTTAGACACCCGGATCCCGTTGAAGACGTTCACTATGGCAAGACATTCACTATATAACAAAATCTCGTGACCTCCTAAATTGTTGGTAGTAATTTTTTAGATAAAATATATTTTTGTCTATTTTTTGATCTCTAGATGCATAATTCTACGTGATATTGTTGTATAGTAGACTTTATAGTTGAAGACGTATAGTCAGTTATTAAAATGATCTATCATGACTTCAGAATAATAATGGTGATATTACACATACCAAAACTAGACAAATCACCCACCAAGTCAGATGATGGTAACATCCATGGCGGGCCTTCCTTTTTTTTCTTCCTCCGGAATCAGTCAATTGACCTTTTGAATTAAATTTAATGTCTCTTTATTTTCCCTTGGACACTGATAGGTGCTTGTTTATGATTTAGATAGATTTTTTGAAAGAAAATTATTCTCTCAATTCCAAAATTATTATCTAATTTGAATTTTTATTTTTAATATTACAAATTGAACTAAAGATAGAAGAATGATAAAGATAGTGAATATTTGTGGAGCCTACGATTTTTTATAAGGCAAATAATTTTGCCACAATACTTTCTAGCATCTACAACAAAAATGACTTCATTAACCTTGTTGTGATTTTTTCTTTCTTTCTCTCTCTCCCCCCAAATCACTTCCCTTTTCTTTTCTACTCTCTGTGGCAGCCATAGTAAAATTTTAATTAGTTTTACTAGGGGCAAAAAGTGCACCCAACCATGATATTCTCCTCCATCTTGGTTCTTACAGGCAATTTTTAAAAAAATTTAATTTTTGAGCAATTTCAAAAATATTTGAATGGTATGTTCATCAGTCATAATTGAGATGTTTGAGGGCTAAATCGCTATTGCAATCTACTAACACCATAATGAAAATAAAGATCAAATTTGGAGAGTAAATTCTTTGCTTAAGTTTGATTGATTTTTTATTAAATTTCATCATTGTTTTGTGGGTTTGTTTATTTAAAGGATTTTGATCTTCAAATTTTCGAACCGATTGCGTCCATGGGTTTTCTTTGGAGAGGGGAAGTGGTATTAATTTGGTGTCCTAATTTTTCAGATTGAGTTTTAAATCGAAAAAACAAAAAAGAAAGAAAGAAAAAAAAAAAGCATTCACTAAGTGATCTTTCGAAGGACAATTACTCCCTACAATTCCCCATTGTCATTATTTTTTGAACCCTTTGCTCTAGTATTTGGTATGCCCCATAAAAATTGTAGATTTGAGCAAAAATTATTAACGCAGTGGGCGACAGTCTTTGCGCAAGCTGTAACATTTGAGATTTTGACATGTGAACATTGATTAATTATTGTGATAGTGTTATGACTTGTGAGGAAAACTAAAATTATAATTGAGAAATGGATTTAAGGAAGAGAGAAAGGAAAATAACTTTGATCTAATAAGGGTAATTTCGAAAAGAGAAATTATTTTTGTTGTAGATGTTAAAATATTGTTAGGGCAGAATCACCACCCCTTTTATAGTTAATGAAGTTTGACCATCTTGTACTTTCAGGCATCATTTAATTGTTTCACTAAATATTTTCTCTATCCGTCGTTATTGATTACCACCTTCTTGTATTTCCCACTGATAAACTTTTCTGTATAACCAAACCCGTGCTTGGCTTATGATCTAGATGGATTTTCTAAAAGAAAAGTAACAAAATAGTGAATATTAGTGGAACACACTATTACATAGTATAAAAATACATTATTATGGTATTTCACCATTTTTATAATTAATAGATTTCGACTATCTTGTATTTTCAGGCATCATGTAATTACTTCACTAGATATTTTCCCTACCCGTCGTTATGGATTACCTTCTTGTATTTTCCACTGATGGACTTTTCTGTATAAACCAAACCAGGAGGGAAAAAACAAAGCAAAAAAGAATAAGGGATCATGTTTCGAAGCTTTATAGTTTTAAAATTGTTATTATTATAGGATAATTGAAGACTTGAAGTGAAACGTATTACACCAAACTACCAAAGTCCACACAAAATACACAAAAGTCCACCTGCAGCCCGATTAGACTACATATTGCTTCAGTTCACATTCAAACCATCTCTATTTTATTCAAATAAAACTGATTATATTTCGTCTCTAATGTTTGGTGAATTCCAAGAGTTGGTTTTTCTTCGTTCTCTGATGTTTGAAACTGTCCCTCTAACGCAGAAGGTCGATGGTGCTGATTTTTCAGCTTTGAACTATATTCTCACATAGTCAAGCATGCTTTTGCCATCCAGGGTTCTGCCCAAATATATCTTCAGAAACTCTTCATAATTCACAGTCTTGAATTTGGCTCCATTTTCTTTCACAAGATCCGGCAGGGGACCGATGTTCGCCTCTCCGCTCGGGCCGTGAAATGCAGCCAGGGAAAGCCTAGCCTTGTGGGAATTCACCACAGCTCTGTGCTCGATGCTTTCATACAAGCCATTACTCATGATCTGCGAAATAAAAAACCAACATAAAACCGACCCGATTCATGTCGAGTTCTTTTAACTAATAGTAAATTAGTAATTACCTCCATGGTGTCACCAACGTTTACGACAATGGCTTCAGGAATAGGTTTAATTGGTATCCATTTACCATTTTTCCTGATCTGGAGACCTTCCACTTCGTCGGATTGAACCAATAAGGTGAGTAGGTTTATATCAGAGTGTGGACTTAAACCGATAACCTTGTCGGGTTGGGAGCAAGGCGGATAATAGTTCAATCTTATGGATTGTATCAACTCCTTGTACATGCCGGAAAATTCCTCGAATCTCACCCCCAGATTTCTGGCCATGGATTCACAAAGTGTAATGCATATTTTGTGCAGCTCAAGCGAGTATTCGTGTAAGCTTGATCTGATTGACATCATCAATTCTGAGTTTAGTTAGCTTTTCAAAACGCTTGCGAAAAAATGTGCGTAAAAGCTTGTTCAATGTTCATAATTGTACTAGTACCATATTTTTTTGTTATCAGAAACATGAATATGTAGGATTGGTTTTGCCTATGAGAGTGCGTACATTTAACACAAGATCAGGAAATACGAAACCTGAAAGATGCAGGATTGTTAGGCCAGAATCGCATATTCCTTATAGACTCCGGAACAGTGAAAAGGTAGATCAGGTCGTTCCAATCGAGTTTATTATCCGAGAACACAAATCCTTGGCCGTATCCTTCAATGAAATTGCTCACTTTCCCATAGACCATCTTCTCTTCTAATGGCAACTTGAAGAATTCAGACACATCCGCTTTCATCTTCTCAATTATTGCTGTTGCTCCATGATTAGTCAACTGCATTTAATTCCTCAACCAATACATTTAATACAATGTCTATGTTACAAAAGATATAGTATATAGCTACATTGCAAAAAAAGAATTACCTGGAAGAATCCCCAATCCTTGCAAGCCTGATGAAGTTTCGACATTTCAGTCTCACATTCAGTGTTACCAGCAACAAGCTTGCTCATATCAATCACTGGAATTTGTGATGATTCGTCGACCGAAACTTCGTCGGCCTGCAATTCGGGTCGGACGTATCGAGTTGGGATATCTTTGAAGTTACTGGAAGCAAGTTCTTGCACGTTTGCAACAGGAAGTGAAGTCGCAGTTCCATTTACACCGTGGATCTCCATTTGATGGACTCTTTAGCTTGTATAGGAAAGTCTATTTGAATTTACGTTTATCTTTTTTTCCTGTTTGAGTTTCATCAGCAAAGAGGGATGATGTTTTTATATTGTCATGGGGTGTGGATATTTTCGCCCTGCATTATGTTGGTGTGGACTTTTGGACTATGGTTGACGTGACCAATCAACATTAATTAGCACTTTGGACAAAAGCTGCTAGCAGAAAGCGTTCCCACCACGATTGAAGAATCTCATAGAATCGGTCCCAACGTTCAACTCCCGAGAAGATCCGCAAAATGCAAACATCAAAACTCAAACCTCACATTTTTCAAAGGAAAAAATACATTTTTCGTCCCCCAGCTTTTGAGGTAATAAGATTGAGTCACCATAAATTTTTAATTGGCAAAAATAATTCCCTAAAATATTTTTCTCGTCAATTTTTGTTGATTTAATAGAAATTTACAAAAATTAATGGAAGAAATCAACTCGCCGTTAATAACAAAATATTTTATTAATTTTTCTGATAGTGAGCCCCACATTTGTTTGACTTAAAAAAAACTCAAATAAAAATTAAAAAAATACTTTTTTCCCTCCATCTTTCTCACCATCCGGCCCCATTTTTTCCCTACTTTTTTTTAATTTAAAATTATTTTAATTAAATTAAAATTAATTTAAAATACTTTTGTTTATTATTTTAAATTAATAATAAAGTATTTTAAAATTAAAATTAATAATAATTTAATTTTTTATTTTTTATTTTTTTAAACCACGCGAGTACCTGAGAAATTTATAGATAACCAGAAATATTTTTCAGGGCAGTACTTAAGATTTACCCTGTACAAGAGACCGTTATAAAGACAGAGATTTAAATATCAGTAAATATACTGATACTTTCAAAAGAGACCTAACTGGACCTATACAAAATTATGTCTAATGTCGGTATTTTTCAAACTTTTCGGGATTATTTTTCTAGTAACTCAATAAAGAAAAACTTCAGGCTAAATTTCCTGTCATCGTGATGCGGTTCTTTCAGAGCACAGATCTGAACTGCCGCGCTTAGTGGGCATATGGAGAATCCAAATCTGTGATGATATACAGAGAAATTTTAATTCCAAAAAGAGTCACTAAAATATAATTAATCTGAATTCGAACCTGAACCAAACATATGAAATAACTGTATAAACCAATTTGGTTTCTTTGTAACCCAGACCGGCGAACCGATATGAACCGGCTCACCGGGTATTAAGGACCGGCGAAACACTGTTAATTCCAAAAAGAGTCACTAAAATATAATTAATCTGAATTCGAACCTGAACCAAACATATGAAATAACCGTATAAACCAATTTGGTTTTTTCGTAACCTAGACCGGCGAACCAATATGAACCGGCTCACTGGGTATTGAGGACCGGCGGACCGATTTCTGAGAGTTGCCGACGAAGCGGCTGTGTAAGAGGGAGCCGGAGGTCCGGCTTTGGGAGATGGCCGATTATATGTTGAACCTAGTTTGGGGTTTGTGGATCTAACCGGGCGACTGGTTAGGTTTGACCCATCAGAAGGTTGCCGGTCTGAAGAGTAGCCGGATCTTGAGTCGTGCAGCCAGGGGGGCTAGATTTTGAGTCGTGCGGCCAGGGAGACGGACGACGGTGGTGTCGGGCTTCGATATGGCACTGTCGGAGATGTAGCATCTAGAAGGCAGCGTGTAGTAGGGAACGATGCATCCAAGGCGTCAGCGACCGAAGCTCCGGCAATAACACGGGAACCGGCTGGGGAAGTCGGATCTGAGGTCAGATCCGGAGCTTTAAACAAAGCTCGATGTCGGCCGGTGGAGGGAAGGTCTTGTGTGCGACGAGCTATGATGGTGACCCTGATTGGAACAACGCACAACAGTGGACCATCCATGGTGTCGGCGGCAGAAGCTCCGGCGACTGCAACCTCTTATACTGGTGGGGGAAGTTGGATCTGATGCCAGATCTGCAGCTTTCAACAAAGCTGGGTTTCCACCGATGTAAGGCTGACTTTTGTGGCGACGAGCGGTGGCTCGATCTGGTGACCCGAAAGCATCAAGCACTCGTCGAGGCAGCAACTTAGAGGAGGAGGGGCAGCGGTACCAAAGGACTGTCGATTTGTGGAAGAGGCCGGCGATTATTGGAAAAGGACCGGCGCCAAAAACCGGATTTTTGTAGGAGGGGATAGCGGCCGGCCGGAAGGCCGTAGTAAGTGCCTATTCTATTAAAAAAAGGGAAAAGACAGAAATTTAGGAGTTTCCGGCGAGGAAGTTTTTAGTGAGAAGGGGCCTTCATGTTAAAAATAAAAATAAAAAATAAAAAAAGGATGTCCGTTTATAATAAGCATACATTCTTTATTATTTTAAATTATTACTATTAATTAACAAAATAAAAATACTTTTAAAATAATCTATTATTATTAATTTTAAAATAAAATACTTTTAATTTTATGGTCATTAAAGTATTAAAGAGAAATGAAATAGAGAAAAGAAAATAAAAAATTAAAATAGACTGTTTTGTTATTTTTATTAATTCAGGGGTTATTTTTATATTACTTAAAATTATTAGGATTTTTTTGTAATAAATCGATTATTTTATTAATAAATTAACAGAGATCCATTAACTTGGACGGAAAATGATACGATTAGAAAAAATTGGCAAAAATTTCAAATATTAAGGTAAAATTGACTAACTGAAAATTTATTAGGTAAAATTAACGTCAAGGGCAAAGTTTTAGGTAGAAATGCCATTTTTTCCATCAAATTTACTTCCACAGTTTTAGGTAGAAATGCCATTTTTCCCCCCCCCAATTCCATTTCCTGACATCCCACGCAGCAACTGTACGTAACTCCATTTTGTTTTTCTTGCTTCAAAAAAATTATGGAAACATACATGAACAGAAAAAGGCGCCAAAACCTTTGAAATTGTGGTTTATAATTTGTTAAATTATTTATATCCATGGACGTAGCTCCCCCTCTTTTTTTTTTTTCCAATCTTATTTCCTCATCGTTTTCTCATATTCGGGTGATGAATGATTGAATGTACCAATTGATCTCTTGAATTTATTGATCTGCATTTCTCGAATTTCTAGAAATTGTACTGAAATTCAACACCAAATTAATTTCCCATTCCAATTTTTTCGGATTTCTAGAAGGTGTACTGAAATTTAACACCAAATTAATTTTCCATTCCAATTTTCAAATCGTGTTGTCGATCAGTAGTTTGTTCTTCTCTCGGGGATGAGGTAATAGTCAAGATTTTTTTGGTGCTAAACCCTCCATTCGCAATTGAACATGTGTGTGCACAAGTTCAAAAATTTTTAAATATCCATAGGAAAAAAGATTTGACTTTTTTTACATGTCAATTTTTTAAAAAGAAAATTAAACTTTTTCATTCATTTTGTTGAAAATGGCACACTAACGATTATAACGTTTAAAGATCACAGTTAAATTCGGACTGTTAAAGATTAATTTGGACGGCAACTTTAATCGAGAAACCGGTTTGGCGACCGCTGGTGGAGCTGCAAGAGATTATTATGGCAAGTGATTGGGTGATTTTATCATGAACATAGACTTCTGTACTATTACGGGAGATGAATTATGGGGTTTATTTCAAGGTTTGACACTTACATGGGAATTGGGTTGGAGGAAGGTAGTTGCGAAAGTTGACAATGCAAGTATTATTACTATAGTGCAAAGTGAAAAGGTCATGAATGGTCTCAATGGAGGGGTCATATATGGGATTTGAGATTTGTTGGAAAGAGTAGAGATCAAACATATGTTTTGCGAGGCTAATTCGTAATAAATTATATGGCATTTCTAGAAGCACAAGGCCCGGATGGCTTACAATGGCACGTTACACTGCCAAGCAGAGTTATTCTATGACTGAAACATGATGTAGTTGGAGCATCATACTCTCGTAATGGATTAGTTTGATTCTAGGCCTTGTGCCTCTTCCTTTACAACAAAAAAGTCACAGTCAATATAAAGATTCAATTGCCTGCAACATTTAATGATCTACAAATGGACCAACTATTTTTCTTATAGACAAATCTTTATGTTATTGTTAATGCTACGGAGATAAAGAAGGAGACGGATATCCGGAAGCAAAATAATCAACGATTATGGATTGCACCAT